AATTGGGCTATTATCTGATTTTAATACATGTTTTAACCTATGGTACAATTTTAACTCTTATACCCGCTTTGTTTCAATTATCACTTTTTAGGAAAGATTTAACGTCATATAAAACACGTCTTGAACCACGTCACATAAATGCACCCGCGGTCACGACACATTTCATATAACGTTGTTGAGATTTGGATTTGGGTCACATAAATGCACACCCGAGTTTAGGGAAGTAATTTTAAATAGCGCGCCTAAAGCAACTACTCACTTTCAAGTTTGCGAGGGCCATGGAAAATTCAACTAATGGCACACCTCGATTCTAATTTCAAAGGAATGTACTCAACTAAAGCAAATACAGATGTTCATAATTATTTTTCTAAAGCTGATTTAAGATTATTGCAAAGCCAAGGATTATGGGTTAATTTGAAGAAATTGATAAGTTACTAACTATTATGTGAAGCATTGTAGTTCCTTGAATTTCAGGTTTTGAGTAAGTCAAAACATTCCAAGACTAGGCAATTAGTTAATCCCCAAAAGTAACTCATTACTAAATTTGTTTGAATTGCTAGTCTAGGTGATTTAGCTAAGCAGAAGGCAATCAACTGAACAAAAGAACAGCCTTAGCAGAAGTCATACTTTCTATTCAAAGTCACGTGCCAAGTGGGAAGGCTATCTATATCAAAAATCATTTTTGTGCCTATTTACACTCCATGCCTATCTAACACTAATCAGATTCATAACCATATTAAAACATAATCAAACAAAAAAATTTGAAGGAGCAGAAAACGACAAACTAACCAACAAACAATCAGGCCTCAGCAATTCGAGTTTTAATTTAAATACACAGTAATACCAAGGATCAACAGAAGAAAGATTTCGAGTAACTTTGAGACCTAAAACATGCTGAATCAATAAAGCCAACTATAAACAAACATAACAGCTCAATTTTATTTAATCCTAACCGGGAATTACAGCTTCAAAGATGTACATACCTAAAAGTAGGACAACCGCAAAGAAACGGACCAAAATAATGGTCTGAATTCAGCCACCAAATAGTTGATTCAACAGCAGAAATCAACACCCAGCTTTGGTCTCGAGTTATAAGTTGCCTTGGATCCCAAAAATTAACTTGACGGACTGAAATTCAACTCATGAGAATGGCAGCAGTGAACGAAGGTAAAGTTGCTGCGTTTTGTGGTAAGAGATAGCTAGTAAAAGATGACGAAACTCCGGTGCCAACGCCGGAAAGCTCGAAAACAACTTCGATTGCTCAAGAAATGAAGATCAGAGGTGGATGTCGTTTTTCTTCTCAAAAATATGTCCAACACTTCAAAGTAGCTTTTTTACATGTATTCATACCAAGTAGGGTCGGTCTCAGATGAAAATACCTTCTCCCACGTGAAATAGGACACTCACTCTATAAAATTTGCACTACCGCGCCGCATAGGGCGACGCGCCATGCGTTACGGCAATAGAAAAGCTTAGATTGCTAATTTTGACAGGCTGCAAAAAATTTTCATAGGCGCATGCGACGGGCGGTGGGAATTTGCGAAAATGCAAAACATGAAAGTTGTAGCCTTCAAATAGCTTTCCAACGATACATTGTGGACACAAACAGAGTTTTGAGTGAAAAGTTATGTGCATTTTACTAGACAATACGCCGTATGCCCGCTCGATTCTCTGTTTCGTTCTTAAATATCATCTATTGATCCCCGAACACGATTCCGACTTAATTCCTTGGGCTTTTACTCAGACTTCAAAGCTTCAAATTACTTGGAATCATTCCACAATATCTACATAGCTCGGAATCACTCGTACAAGGCATAAAATATACAATTAGTACAAAACACTAGCGATTAAAGCACAAACTCAATTAAAGTGCAGTAAATTTAGAGTGTAAAAAGCGACTAAAATACGTAATTATAGCCTATCATCACAAACTACTTTTGGTAATTAAAAATTCACATTATTTTTATTTGAAAGAAGCAAAACGTCAGAAGCATCCTATTATACCTCTACTAGAAATTGTACCCGCACGATGCGCGGTCATTATTAATTAAATTAAATTGTGATCGGGCTTGTTTAAATATATTAGATCGTATTGCTTTAATAAATTTCAATTGTTATCTTATTTGTCAGTATGATATATACAATAAAAAATCTTTATTAATAAAGGGACTTATATAGTCATTGAATAACTTTTTTGTTCTATTTTTTTATTTATTCGGTTAAAAAATATTTAATATTTTTACATTGTTAATAGAAATTTTTATATGAAAATTACTTTGTTTAATTTTTTTTATAGTAAAAGTATTTTTATTTTATTATTTTATAGATATTTAAATTCATAATCAACTAATTATTAACTACTTATACCATGTGATTTTTTTATAGCTGCAACTTGGCTTAAGGAGAGGATTTTTTCCACTCTTTTTAATAATATATAGATAGACATCTAGTAACTTTTTTGTTGTCTCGACCTGGATTTTCCCACCTTCGGGAGTCGTGATGGCGCTTACTCGTGAAAGCTAGGCAAGCCAACAATTACAGTTTTACTACCATTATTATTAATTCAAACAGGAATGGATATTAGTTAAAACAAGATAATTAAGAAATGCGGAAATGATATAACAGTGCCACAACTCAAGTACATAACTACCCCATAGATTTGGTATCACAATCCATGAGCAACTAAGATTTACTACAAATATAAGTCTAAAAAAAGTACAACCGTTCTCGAAACAGAAGAGACAGCAAAAAACTAAAGTGGGGAAGCTTCAGGCTCTGCGAAAGCCAGCAGATCTACCTTGGTCTCCATGGACTGAAGCCAGCTACCTCAAGCTACTCACAAGGTCTGACACCGAAATCTACACAAAAAGTACAGAGTGCAGTATCAGTACAACCGACCCCATGTACTGATAAGTGTCGAGCCTAACCTCGGCGAAGTAGTGACGAGGTTAGGACACGACAACCATATAAACCTGTGTAGTTAAATCATATACGAACAAAATAATAATAACAGGAAATAACAGGTAAATATGGGAAGAGGAACATGCTGCAGGGAATATCAAATTCTAACAGTAATTCAATAGAGAAGTATAATGAACATCATATTTGTATCAATAGGAATAATGGAACAGTAACACGTGCACGACAACACCCTTCGTACTCTTACTCTCGTCCTCACCATAAGAAACAACAGAAATGGCACGACATCACCCTTCGTGCAATAACTCTCATAATCACGGCATGACATCACCCTTCGTGCAATAACTCTCATAATCATGGCATGACATCACCCTTCGTGCATTAACTCCCACAATATCGGCACAACATCACCCTCCGTACATTAACACTCACAATATTGGCACGGCTTCACCCTTCATGCATTAATACTCACTCACAATATCATGCACGATATCACCCTTCGTGCTTTACACTCATCCTCACCCAAACAGTATAACAATACATCTCGGCAAGGGAATCAACAATAGAAACAATAACATCCCGATAAGGGAATTAACTATTGATGTTTTAAGTGTCAATACCACACAAGAGGGGGGATGATTTGTGTGGTACCCAATTTTCGCTTAACTACTCTATAGAAGAACCTAATTCTTCTAGGTGTTCCAACTACTACTATTTGCGAAATAATAAATACATAAAATAAAGAACATAGAGATTTTTACGTGAAAAACACCTAGCTCAAAAGGTGAAAAAACCACGACTTACTACTCAGTAGGATTTTCCCAAACTTCCACTAAAATCACTAGCCAAAACAGCATTTACAAAAATACTTTGTAAACCTAAGGATTAACTCTAATCCCGTTGTGGCACACATCCTCAATTGTTGCGACAACTTCAAGTTAGCTATAACTTGAACACTCTAGGTACCTAATACAATTGCTTCTATGAAAGCTAAAAGGTACAACTTTAAACTACCTACTACAATTGAACTAGAGTAAAAGATAGACACAATGGAACTGGTTCTTCTATCTCGTTCAAGTAGCTTCAGGAGTGCACACTCAAATCACACATAAATTGCTTGCAAAATCGCCTTGCTTTTTGCTCTCAATTTAGTTTCACTTCTGCGTATGTGCAATACCTGTAAAAGAGAACAATCACTGTCATTTAATAGGTTAGTAATCAGAGTTTGATCAGGACTCAATTGCTAAACTTCCATCGTAGAAGAGTTCATGATGATCTCAAACTCTAACACTATCTTTATCCTAGATCGTGTTCTCTTCATATAAGGAGACTTTATCCCCTTATCTAATATGCAACCTTTTCGATCAGATCAGGAGATATTGCTGCTTGATCAGTAGGACTTATCTCCTTCACGTGCATCTCACATGCATAGATTGATCATGACTGTGCTTCACAAGATGGACCTAGTCCATGATTGAGTTCATTTGTCATTCTTCAAAACTTCACCTGTTCTTGGGCCAACAAATTCCCTCCTTTTGATGATGACAAACTCTGTGCTTTTTACTGATTTGAATCCTGTAAGCACTCAGGTTAACCATCAATATTAAACTTAAAAAATTCACTTATCATCAAGGACCAGGTTAATTAGGTTATAAATTTAACTTATTTTCAGAATATGTAAAGCACAATATCTCTTCCCCCTTTTGGCATCATCGAAAAGTTGCATACGAAGTGTGATACCCAGATTTTAATAAGTACTCATGGCCACTAGGGCAACTGCAAATGCAATCATGGTGCAATCATCAGTAATCAAACAAACATATTTAAACTATCAAGGACAGATTAATCATTGAACAAGAGAAAATAGTAGTTATCATTGATAGAGATATGTTGCCACCTACAATCCACAAAAAGAAAGAAAAACATTCAAACCATGAGCAAAAAATAGAAAAATCCCTAATCTGGGTCACTGGGGGTACTGAACAAGTTCAGGAGACAGAAGCTAGGAATCCTAAGGCTTGGAGAAACTGGAGGGTTGGGTTTGAGTTTGGAGAAGATTCAGCATGTTCTGAAGAATTCTATCATTCTTCTCCTTTTTTGGCAAGCTGAGTTCTGAGACCATCCTTTTCAGTTTTCACTTCAACCACACGAGCCTTGAGCTGAGCAATTTCAGCATCCTTGGCTGCACATTCCTGAACCAGAGTCCTAACTTTGCTGTTGATGGGTGTCTTCTGGGATGAACCGGGTTCAATGGGGATGGCATTGACTGAATAGTCATAGGCAAGAAGAGTTTTGATGCCAAAGTGTTCCTTGCTCGAAGCCATTTCCCATTTTAGAGGCACATTTAGCCTGTCTAGAACTGTGGTCAGAATGAAGCCATATGGAGTAACATGAGCTTTAGAGCCATTTATTACCCTGTCTAGCAGTTTGATAATGAAGGCAGGCCAATTGATTTGCTTTCCTCTCTCCAGGCACTCCATAAGAACTAGATCCATGTAGTTAGCAGTGTGCCTTCTCTCCTGTCTGGGCAATAAGCACTTGTTGAGAAATTCAAACACAACCTTGTGCTCAGGCCTCATTTCACTTTTCTGCACAGCCCTGACTTCAGTCATCTCTTTTGAATCACTAAACCTCTTGGTGATTTCAAGGGAAGTAGGGAGGGAGTCCAGGCATAGCCACCTTTGCCTTGTATAGTCATCAAACCCTTCAGAGGGTATGTCCAGGATCTCTCCCAGTTTCTCTGCATCAAGCTGTAGTTGAACTCCTTTCACCAGACTACTAACAACTCCATCCTTAAAAGCAACATTGGCCATAAATTCAATCAGCTCATTTCTGGCTAGCCTACCATCCATCTGAAGGACCATGTCCTTCCATCCCTGAGCAGCTAAAGCATCCACCAATCTCATCACTCCTGGTTCTACTAGGTCCTTCAACAGTCCGCCCTTTAAAATCTTTCTTCTGCCAAAAATGGCAAGCTTGTCCTGTTCCTTCTCAAAATCATTTTCTTCTTCTTCTCCACTCCAGTCATCATCATCAGAAACTTTTGATTGTTTGGTTTTCACTGCAGATCTTGTCCTCTTGGCTAGTGTGAGTTCAGCAGCCACAGGCACAGAGGAAGACTTCTTTGAAGAGGTCTTGGGATTTTTAGGCTTGGTTGTAGGAACCTCCACTGTTGTACCCCTTTCTTGATGNAGTTCAGCAGCCACAGACACATAGAAAGACTTCTTGGAAGAGGTCTTGGGATTTTTAGGCTTGAGTGTAGGAACCTCCACTGTTGTACCCCTTTCTTGATGGACCAGTTCCATCTCCTTTCCCTTTCCTTTATCTTTTTCTTTTTCTTACTTTCTTCTAAGGCCCTTTGTAGATCAGCTTCACTCTGTTTCACCCTGCTTCTTGTGGCTCTACCCCTTGACAATGAGGAGGCAGTAGGTGTTGGAGGTGAAGCCTTTATTTTCTTGGAAGGCTTAGGAATATTTGGGGCTTTTGTTGTGGGAGTTCTGCGTTTCTTTGGGTCATAGCTTGCCCCAACCTTTTTCAGTAGATCGGCTAGGGTCTTTTCAGTGGATGAAACAGGTTCATCTCTCCGTGTGCTCAGATAAACCAACTCCTCAGCAGCTTCCCCAGAACCACTTCCACTTGACTTCATGCCACTCTCTTCTACCCTTTCTTGTTTAACCCCACAGATGGCAGACACTATAATTTTCCCAATTCCCCTCTCTTCACCACATGCACCCTCTCTCTCTTTTTTCTTTTTCAAAATTCTTTTTACCTCCACTCCTACGTTTCTCAGGCACTTCAACATCTCTAATTGGTCCAACCAGAACAAACCTAGTCTCTAGGTTTTCAATCACAGATGAACTTACCTCAGAAGGAGATTCTTGAATCTTTTCAGAGTCAGAAGACCCATGTCCTTCCCCCTCAGTTGTGGATTGATAGGATTCCGACTTAGAGATGGAGTCGAAATTTGGAGCTTGGCTTTCTTTCACTTGGCTTGCTTTCAACCTTTCATTTAAAGCCTTCCTCAGAGCCCCAAATGCTACAGTCTTTCGAGCAAGCATTTTTACCCTTTGTAGTCTAGGTTTTGGGGATACACTGGGTGGAGTAGATGAGTATGAATTTGAGGGAGATGGTGGTGGAGGAGTTCCAAGATTTTCTTGTGGGTTAGACATGATTGCTGGTTTCTTGAGAGAATCTGAGAATTTTGGAGAAGAGGGCAAGTGAAAGTGAAGAAGAGTTTTTGACGGTTTGGAGTTATGATGAAGGCTGTAGAAAAGATGTGTATTTAAAGGAATTACACATTTAATAAGTAACGACAGCCTTTTGCAGTGGTCAAATGGGAGTTTAATCAACCTGAAATTCCAGATTTTGAATGATCTATTTGGCTTCCCTAGATATTAGGCAAAAATTACGGTTTAGAGTTCTAGGTGGACGGAACTGGTTCAATGCTAACGGATAGAATTTTCTAGGAATTTGACAAGTATAGGACTTCTACTCATGATTGAATTATTAATCTTTCTAATTGTGCAGAGTATAGAAAACATACCCGAGCTTTCATATGAACCTATACTGATGAACCAAGTTCTTCATTTAGAACTCTCTTGAACATGCCTCAAATGCCATAATAGAGAAAATTTTGTAAGAGATCAGTGAGTCATGTAAACACATATCACAGGAGTATACTAATTAAAGTATGAAGCTGAGTAAGAATTAATCTAGATATTTACACAAATTCAGAATTCCTAGCCAAATTTTTTTTTTCATATTTTTTTTCATTGTGCATTCTGAGCTGGACCTATTAGGTGATCTTAATCATCCCTAATTCCAACCTGTTCCTCTAAAAATTTTCTCTACTCAGTGCTTTAGTGAAGATGTCAGCAATTTGCTTATTAGTAGCACAGAATTCTATGGAGATCAATCTTTATCTCTTAAGAAGTGGTGTCTAACATCTATGTGCTTAGTCCTCTTATGATGAACATGGTTCTTTGTCATACTTATAGCACTAGTGTTATCATAGAATATAGGAATGCAACCAACTTCAATGCCAAATTCTACCAGCTACTGTTTGATCCATAACAATTGAGCACAACAAGATGCAGCAGCAACATATTCAGCCTTATCAGTGGATAAGGCCACTGAATTTTGCTTTTTAGTGGCCCAGGATACAAGACATGAACCAAGAAAGTGAGCCATACCTGAGGTGCTTTTCCTATCCACAAGGAAACCTGCATAATCAGCATATCCTCTTAGATTGAAATTACTACCTTTGGGATACCAAAGACACAGATCAGTGGCACCTTTCAAGTATCTTAGTATCCTCTTCACAACAGTCAAGTGAGACTCTTTTGGATTGGCCTGGAAGCAAGCACAAAGCCCTACACTAAAGACTATGTCAGGTCTGCTAGCAATTAGATACAAGAGTGAACCAATCATACCCCTATACAACTTTTGATCAACTGATGAATCAGGTTCATCAATGTCTAATTTTGTGGCAGTTGCAATGGGGATGTCTATTTCCTTTGATTCCTCCATTTTAAACTTTTTGATAAGCTCTTTTGCATACTTTTGCTGATGGATCATGGTTCCATTTGGGCTTTGTTTGATCTGTAAGCCTAAGAAGAAGTTAAGCTCACTCATCATACTCATTTCAAACTCACTCCCCATTAATTTTGCAAAATCCTTACTTAGCTTATCAGTGGTGGCCCCAAAGATTATGTCATCAACATATATTTGTACCACAAGGAGATCTTTACTTTTTTCCCTTAAGAATAAGGTATTGTCAATTTTACCTCTTTTGTACCCATGTTCAAGCAGAAATTTTGACAGTCGTTCATACCATACTCTTGGAACCTGCTTGAGTCCATAGAGAGCCTTGTCTAATTTGTACACATGCTTAGGACATTCCTTGCTCTCAAACCCTGGAGGTTGTTTTACAAACACTTCTTCTTTCAGGTAGCCATTCAGGAAGGCACTTTTGACATCCATATGATGAAGAGTGAATTCCATATGTGCTACAAAGGCTATGAGGAGTCTTCTTGCCTCTAGTCTTGCAACTGGAGAAAAAATCTCATCATAATCTATGCCCCCCTCTTGGCTGTAACCTTGGACCACCAGTTTTGCCTTGTTTCTTGTAACTTTTCCATCTTTATCAAGTTTGTTTTTGAAGACCCATTTTGTACCAATAACTGATCTGTCCTTGGGTCTTGGAACTAGATGCCAAACTTGACTTATCTCGAACTGATTGAGTTCATCTTCATTGCATTTACCCAATCTGCATCATGCATAGCCTCAACAACATTTTTAGGTTCAATAAGAGATAAAAAGGCATCAAAAGCACACAGTTTCTTTAATTGTGATCTAGTTTTGACTCTAGATGTTGGATCAGTGATAATGTTCTCAATAGGATGAGAACTTTGAAACTTGTGAGGTTTCACAACCAACTGGTTTCTACTAGATGTTTCTCCCATGTTCTGTTATTGAAGAACATGGTCATGTACATGTTATTTTAGGGGGTTTGTTTCAATTCCTCTTTGATCAGTTCCCCCTATCAGGTTGCCCTGAATGGAAGAACCTGTTCCATCACATGTTCCTTCTTTTGGTGCCACTTTAACTTGTGCTGAGGTTTCAGTCAAATCCTTTACCAATCCAATGGCTTCATCTTCATGTTCCTGTCTCTCAGAAAGAATGTTAGTTTCATCAAACACTACATGCATACTTTCTTCTACACACAAAGTTCTTTTATTGAATACTTTATATGCTTTGCTATGTGAAGAATATCCCAAGAATACTCCCTTGTCACTTCTAGGAGCAAACTTACCTAGGGAGTCTTTTCCATTATTGTGCACAAAGCACTTGCATCCAAATGCCCTAAGATGGGATATTTTTGGTTTTCTCCCTTTAAGTAACTCATATAGAGTCTTCTCTCAGGTCTAGTCATGCATCTATTGATAATGTAACATGCAGTATTTACAGCCTCTGCCCAGAAGCTGTGGGGCAGTTTACTAGAAAGAAGCATAGTCCTAGCCATGTCTTTAAGAGTCATGTTCTTTCTTTCAACTACTCTATTTTGTTGAGGAGTCCTAGGGGAAAAGAAGTTATGATCTATACCATTTTCATCACAGAATTCAGCAAATTTAGCATTTTCAAATTCAGTTTCATGATCAGACCTAATGGATGCAAGTTGATTTTCTAATTGTTTCTGAGTTTTTCTAACAAAAGCAGCAAACATGTCAAATGCTTCATCTTTAGATGTTAGAAATAGTACCCAGGTAAATCTAGAATAATCATCAACAAGTACCATTACATATTTCTTTCCACCTCTACTCATGGTTCTCATTGGACCACAGAGATCCATATGGACCAGTTCCAACGACTTGGTTGTGCTTACCATTTTCTTGCTTTTGAAGGATGATCTTACCTGCTTCCCCCTTGCGCAGGCCTTACAAACTTTGTCTTCCTTGAACTTGATGTTAGGTAACCCTATCACCAAGTCCTTAGAGACTAATTTGTTTAGCTGATTTAGACTAGCATGACCAAGTCTTTTGTGCCACATGAGGGGATCATTATCCAACACACTTAGACAAGTGAGTTCATTTTCTAAAAGAGTAGATAAATCTACAATGTAAATATTGTTAACTCCTTTTCCCTGCAAAATAATCTTGTCAGTGGTAAGGTTAATCACAAAGCATTTAGTAGAGGTAAATGCTACAAGGTTACCTCTGTCACACAGTTGTGACACACTGATCAGGCTGTATTTTAAGCCATCTATCAGGTAGACACTATCAATGGAGTGAGAATCTGTCTTACCTACCTTTCCAACCCCAATAATCTTACCTTTCTTCCCATTTCCAAAGGAGACATTACCTCCCTTTAGATACTCAAGTGAAAGGAACTGGTTCTTGCTTCCAGTCATATGTTTTGAGCAGCCACTATACATGTACCATATTTGGCTACTTCCCTTCACTTGGACTTGCAAAATGAAATCAAGGGTTAGTCTTAGGAACCCAAACTAGCTTGGGTCCCTTTCTATAGGCAAAGGGATAAATAAAATTCCTTTTAGCCCACCCAGGCAGCCTATTTTTCTCTTAAACAAAAGTTTTATTCTTTTGACTGGCCTTTTCTTTTGCATTACATTCATTTTTGTAATGGCCAGTCTTACCACAATGTGTGCAGATTTTGTTTTCAGGAAGAGTGAGATACTTGATTTTAGGATCCCACTTAGGTGCTTGAGTTCCATAGCCAAGTCCTATTTTGTTGCTACTGTGATGTTCTTGTAGCCAGGAAAGTGCATCAGAAGCCTTGTTCCATTTGCAAGTTCTATCTAGTTCATGTTTTACCTTCCCTAGATCTTCTTTTAAGACTTTTATCTGCTCATCCTTCCTGTACAACTCATTTTTTATTTTTCCCAAGTTTTCTTGTAGAGTGAGATGTGTGTGGTCAGCTTTCTTCTTACCCGTTCCTAGTTTCAGTTTTAAGTTCTCAAACCTATGTTCTAGGATACTGGTGTCAAGTTCAAGAATCTGGTTCTTCAACTCAACATTTTTACTCTCACTCTCATTAGCCCAGACTCTAGGTTTTTGCACTTGGCTTTTAGGATCACACATTCCCTAGACAGATCTTCCTTCTCATTGTTAATTATTTCAAACTCATCAACGAAATGAAGCAATAACTCAGACAACCTTTCTTTAGATAGGAATGTAATCTTGTCTTTGAGATGAAGGATACTTACCGCTTGTTCATCATCTGATTCTCCGATGGCCATAAGTGCTTGTTCATCTCCAGCTTCATCTTCTGAGTCCTTATCTGATATTTCTCCCTAGGCAGCAACCATAACCTTTTTTGATCCTTTGTTCCTTCTTGGTTGAACCTGTTCCTTCTTCCTGTTCCTTTGTTCATCCCTTTCCTTCTTCCACTCAATTTCCCATTGAGGACAGTTCTTGATCATGTGATCAGTCTTACCACATTTGTAGCAACCATCATTGGTCTGTTTCTCAGGAGCCCTTGGTTTGTTGAAGGTTGTACCTCTTGAAGAACCCTTTCCTCTCATCAGGTACCTTTTGAAATCTCTTGTGATCATATCCATTTCATCATCCTCCAGATCTGAACCTTTAGCAATTCTGAGAGCCAGACTTCTTTCCTTCTTGGGTGCATCCATTTTCATGGTTTGCCTTCT